GGGCCTTGCTTCTCCTCCACGGGCCTCTCCACCAGCTGCATGGGCTTCCACACAACGTGGTGTTTGGGTTCCAGGAGCAAGGGTCCCAGTAGAAAAAGGCGGAAGCTTTTTTGTGACCTGGCCTCAGAAGTCACCAGCACTCTGTCCTCCATCGTACACTGGTCAAGGCAGTCACAGAGGCTCACCTGGTTTCAGGACAGACACAGGGGCGCCGCCCATCTGGGGAAGAGGCAAAGGTTCTGGAAGGGCACGCAGGATGAAAGATCGTTCTGTGGCTATATTTGGAGAATAAAACCTGCCACGGCATAGGTTCTGGCATGCAGTAAGCCTCAACAAATGCGTGCTGTCACTAGTTCAAAACCATTGGCAGCTGTCTTTCCTCCCAGACTCCTGTTTCTTAGAAGGTGGTAGTATAGCACAGTGGTTAAATGCACCTGCTTTGCAGCCAGGCTACCCCGGGTCAAATCCTGACTCGGCCCCTTAGAGCTGTGTGACCTTGGGTGAGTTGCTTCACCTCCTCAGGTTGTAGAATTTATGATGATGAGATTGGGATTGTGCAAATTACATCAGCATGGAGCACGGAGCCTGCAATAGTGGTCACTCATTACTTAGATGGCCTCATTGGTGCAGTTCCTTCCAGAAAGATTGTCCTATTTACACGTCCTAGCGATGGAGAGGAAGCTGGATCCAGAGTAAGTTTGTGAGCTGGAAGTCCCTGCGCTTCCAGAAGCCTGAAGGTTGGGAGGGGAGAAAGGGAAGTGTCCTGTTAAAGGTTCGCGTACTGTACATGGAGTGGCACACGATCACCTGAAAGTAGATTGCGGTAAATTAAAAATGTGTACTCTAAACCCTATAGTGACCTCTGAGTGACAAAAGAAAGTCTTGCAGCTAAGCCAACAAAGGAGATAAAACAGAATCATAATAAATACTCAGTGATCCAAAAGAAGGCAGAAAAAGAGAACAAAGAACAGATGGGAGAACTATAAAAATAAATAGCAAAGATGATATATTTAAACCTAACTATATTGATAGTTACATTAAATGTGAGTAACCTAAATTCTCCAATGAAAAGGCAGAGATTTTCAGATGGGGGCGGGGGGTGGTGAAGCAAGACCAAACTGTATGCTGCCTACAAGAAACACAGTTTAGGAGCTCCTGGGTGGCTCAGTCGGTTAAGCTGCCGACTTTGGCTCAGGTCATGATCTCACAGTTCATGGGTTTGAGCCCCACGTCAGGTTCTGCACTGTCAGCAAGAGCCTGCTTCAGATCCTCAGTCTCCCTGTCTCTCTGCCCCTCCCCTGCTCTCCCCCTCTCTCTCTCAAAAATAAATAAGCATTTTTAAAAGTTAAAAAAAAAAAAGAAACATGGTTTAAATATAAAGATGCTAAGAGATTAAAAGTAAAAGAGTGGAGAAAGCCACACTAATCACTCATCAAAAGAAATAATCAAAAGCTGGAGTAAGTATATTAATAATAAAGACTTGCGTATATTTAGAGAATATGTGTGCGTATATATAAAAGAACTCTCAAAATTCAAAGTAGGAAAATAACCCAGTGAAGAAACAAGTAAAAAATTTGAAGATACTTCAGTGAAGACGTACATGTGGCCAACAGGCACATGGAAAGACGCTCAATAATATTAGTCCTAATGCAAAGTAAAAACATTGAGATTAAAACCGTGCAATGCCATCACACAGTTTTTAGAATGGTCAGAAGTAAGAATGACTGAGCGTGTCAGGTGTGGGTGAGGGCGTGGAGAAATCGGGACCCCACTGCACTGTAGGTAGGAGTGTAAAATGGGACAGTCGTTTTGGAAAGCAGGTTGGCAGTTTCTTAAAAAGTTAAACATACGACCTAGCTATTTCACCCCTAGGTGTTTACCCAAAACAAATGAAAACATGTGTCCCTACGAAGTCCTGCACATGAATGTTCATAGCAACTTCATTTGAAACAGCCCCAAACCGGAAGCAAGCTCAGTGCCCATCAACAGGTGTGTGGATAAACCGCGATAGGTCCATACGAGGGAGTACCGCTCGGCAAAAAAAAAAAAAAAAA